GTGTCCACAAATTCTGAAATATTCTGCTCTCACAAAATACAAACTATAAATTTCCTTGCATTTTACAAGTATTTAAATCAGTAATATACAGAAGCATTCAAAAAGAACCCTAAATTTATTACTGGTGTGATTTCAGGGATGACTTTAACTCTGGTTTCCAATAAGGAATGGTGGAAATATATTTTTCAATAACACATGATTTTCAAACATGTTATTGTTCTACATGTCCTTGTAGACATTTGAAAGGTTACAAGATTTTAATAATTTAATTTTAAAGAGGACAATTTTATATCAAAATGTATTTTGAATTATTTGGAACTAGTTCCATTTATCTTCTGATTTTTATAGGTACTATCCAGCTGTGTTGTGTAGGGCTTAAATGGCTTCAAGTGCTTAATAAAAATTGAGCCATTTCAAAGGAAAAGTAGATCTTACAAATGTGTCATGTACCTAACCTTAAGCCTCTAAATGTTTCACATTCTGAATTGTTTGCTTCTAAAAACCTAAAAGAGAACATAATACCATCAAGATTTGCATCTAAAAGACATAAACCATAAAATTAGGCTAGTGGAAAAAAGAAATAAGCTGTTGATGATAGTTCTCATTGATGTAAGACAGTAAGGATGACAAAGGGTATAAAACTGGCTTTCAGCCATCAAATCAGTAAGATTTATTTCAAGAATTCAAAGTGAAATAGTGACAGATTTTAAAAAGGAAAATGTACACATGAGTAATCTCCAACAGTCATGAATAACTGAACTTGTCTGTAGGCTGGAAAAACCAGCACAAGCTTGTACTGAAGTTTCATTATCTGATTGAATTTGGGAAAGTCCCTGAGCTAAAAGGTTTGGTCTCTTTCTCAGAGTGTTAGAAGGAATTCAGAAGGAATTTACTGTAATTACCATGTGGAAACATGGGCAGCAAGAAATCATTCCCAAGAGCACTATATACCAGGTTCTTTGGACAACATATCCATTTCACTCTGGGGTTTTCTGAACATGATCTCTCATCTCTTTCATCAGTGTGAGCATGATGACTGGTGTATATAACCAACATGCCCAAACTCAGTGGAAGTCCAGTGTTTGCACATCTCCACATTTGCCACAGACCAAGAAGTTCTGATGAAGAGTTAACCTGTCTTAGGGAAATAGATGGCAGAAAGGAACAGCAAGAAAATTTAAAAGGACAGAAGGATCAAGTAAAACATGTCACAGTGCTGACAGGTGATAGGAGTGAAGAGATATTGAGATTGGTGCAACTGAAAAAATAAAATAGAAAAAATAGAACTAACAGAACCTAGTACTTAGGCAGAGGAGTGCACTCTTCTTGTTTTCTTTATTTTCCTAGAATTTCATTACTCTGTTGCCATCTCTTGATTTTAGCTTCTGTCTCCTTTTCCTTTCATATTTATGCTTTCTCCTGTGCATAACTCCCTTTTTTCAGTCTCCATTTACTTAACTCCCTTCCAAATATCCATGGTTCCACCTCTTCTCACCTTCTCTTTGTTCAGAAAAGATAAAATATCTTTTCTAAAGGAAATTACAGACATTAAATGTCAATAAAGACATTTAATTAGATTCAAGGATTTGTGTTTAATAGTTACCCTTAAAAGCGTTCGAGTTGAAAACTTAGACACTTTCATAAAGAATCAGTGTTTTGAACATAGAGAAATCAAAGCAGTGTCTGGCAGTATGTTCGACACAAAAAGATTTAAATGGAAGGGAATGACATATTGTGATGGTAATATATTATTTATTTGAAGATTGTAGTCGTAATATATTAATGAAAATAAGAATGACTGTTCTTTACAGTGATTACCATCCCCCCAGTTAGCAACGTGTTCAGGCGCTGTCCAACAGCACCATGGACAGTGACAAACAAGTTCCTGTGCCAAAGTTCAGCTGTGGCCACAGTTCATCACTTCAAGCCCTTGACAGGAGCCTGGATGACTCAAGACAAGCTGAGCCTTTCACTTCCATCATGGCCTATCCTCCAGTATTTAATACATGAAACTTTTGGTTTTTGATTTGCACCAGCAGAGTATTTTAAATGTATTCTTGAATCAGGTTTACCTTCTGCTTATAAAAATGCAGTATTTTTCTGCCTTCTGACACTAACTCTTGAAGTCCTCTCTTAAATCTTTCTAGTTATCTTCAGCTCACATTAATATCCTATCCCCTGGTGAACCTCAGATTTCACTAGGAAAATGTTCTGCAATGAGAATGACTTCATTTTACAGAAACCTCAGCTTTCCTAACAGTTTTCAATCACGTAAAAGAGGTTTCTTAAAACATCATCCTTTCAGACCTTGACCAGTAAGTCAGCTGTGAAGCAAGACTTCAAAATATAATTTAGAAGAAATTTTACGAGATGGAAGGAATTTCTTTAAAATTAAATCTGTTTTAAAACCACAGAAAGATCTTTTGTGGAATGCTCAAAAGGACATAAAAATGACATTCCAATCACATATCCAAACTGCCATTCTATCTGTGCTGTTTTTTTTGGAGGCAAATGCAAAAGACCCTCTCCAATGCATTGACTCTGATAGTCAGACTACTAGACAGTTCTAAAGCTGCCAGTTCAGAATCTCACATTACAAAATGAAGCCGCCTGAGTTTCATTCCATCAGTTCAACCTACATCATAAAAAAATGTTCAGTGTTCTTCTACCTTCCCCTTGAAGGATTTTCAGCAAAGACTTATATTACTGTTTAAAATTTGAGTTAATATAAATAAAAAAATACTCACTATAGTGAAAATAATATTCTTATATTTAGCTCCTTGGGAATAAAAGCAACACTGACATATCCAATATTTCTATGTTCTCCAAAAGACTTGTGATTTTAAAATCACTGTGTCATCCCACAAAACAGGCAAATGTTTTCTGTAACTCTTTTTTAATCTCACATTTCAGAATACAGGATAAGTCAGTGAAGTGCTTTCCCCAAATTACTTTGCCTGTATACTGCTGTTCATTGAAAGATTAAGTACAAGTGGAGCATCAAGAGGAGCAATCAAGAGTTGATTTTTTATGCTTGCAGCTAGCTTGAAAACAAAAAGCCTTTAAACAATCATCAGTGATTTTTCTGTAGTTTGACTTACACAGCCTGTGAATGCAAATCAATAGAGTGTATCTTCACTGGTGCATATTTTGCTCTAAAATTTGAGGCTTGTCATGTTTAATTGTCTATAGATTTTTAGACCATTATTCCACATCTACATAATTTATAATTGTTATATCTGTGCTTTGAATTTTTAGTGTTTCTTTGTCAAATTAAAGCTTTAGATTTACATGCAGTTCTATTTATTAAGTATATGACCATAATCTTGAATATAACCACCTAAATCAGGATTAAAAAAAACCAGAAGCCAATACACTTGTGCTGGTTAGAAACAGAGTGAATTCAGCATGAATTCAAGTTTATCCTCTTCCAGGGGAAAAGGGCATCCTTAATGCTTATGAGTTCTTAGTAACATTATGCCATCATTTAAAAAGCACTTTTCCATATCAATTTGACTTAACTTTTAAAGCTTAGTTTTAGAGCTTAGTTTTCTAACATAAATTGAGAACAAGTGGAAAAAAACCCAAGCAAAACATGTAATCAGACAGTCTTCTGATTTAATTGACCCAAACAAATTCCTGTCCTGTCTACTATAATTCATGTTTTAAGTTGTTTTCTGAGTGGTATTTGTTTGTTTGTTTGACAAAAGGATCAACATCCTCACGTAAAGAAGCACTTTTGTATCAGATCTGGTTTTTTGCTTTTTTTACTGCACCAGATTGGACCCTTACAAATTCTTTCGCACAGAATGAAATCACACTGACACATATTATTTCTGAAAACAGACTTCTGAGGATCTACTCTAAATCCACAGATGCTTAAGTGTTCCTGTACCATGTCTGAAAGCCTTAAACCTGCACTTACATTGTTCCCATTAACATCTAGATACATGAAATACCATTTTGTGGTATTTCATGGAAACAAAGGTTCATATCCATAACACTTTTCTGCTTTATCCATGGCATCCCTCTCTGGGACATTGTATCCCTATTTCAAATGTCCTGATGACTTTTTCTCAGGGAAATTCTGCAGAAAAAAGAGGAATTTGCACTTTTGATACTAGAGTGCGTGGGAGACAAACTAGTCACGTGCAACAGCTGCAGCAAAGCTATTTGTGGTCTAAAATAGGCCAGACGGGCTTAGAAAAGAAATGTGCAAAGAAAAAAGTGTTTGCTGAGGTGTTACTGCAGCAGTAAAATCACTATATTTAGCTTACACAGCCTGTGAATGAACACTCTTGCAAAAAACCTACTCCCTGAAATGAAAGAAGAAAAAGAAATACTCACAGAAAATATCTGAGGATTTCTTTTATCTTTTCTCAGGGAACTGTGTCTCCGTATTTGCTATTATTGATCTCTTTATGAAACCTTGCATTTTTGGCTTACTGTAATTGAGAAAGTGAGTGAATCATGCTCTGAAATCATAAAGTTTCATATACTGTGAGTGGAAAATAATTAACTAATTAAAAATGGTTCATATAGTACTTCATGAGTCACAGATTGTGCGTAATATGATGCCAAGTCAACATGTGCAGTGTTTAGCTCTTGAACTCCATTTTGTCCCCATTTGTAAAAAAAAGTGAGCCTTATGCCAGATTCTCAAATCAAACAGAAATTTGAGAGCCCAACCTTGTTTTTCTCCCCCATATCCATTGTGCAACATTGCCCATTTTCAGTGCTATCCTCCCCAGTTTGCTAAATTATGTTAAATAAAATTTCCGTGGCTAAAACAACACTGGAAGTTCTTTAAATCACTCTTTACCAGCCCAGAGGATAGCAAGTTTCTTAACAATGGTAAGTATCATGTTTTACTCACTGACTCCAAAAGGCTGCAATTCCAAAGTGGAAAGAAATGAGACAAACCCCGTACTTGTTGGCAGTTCCAATTTTGGTACATGTCTTTCAAAGCTATCATAATGTCAGACAAAAATGTCTCACCAAATTTGTTTCATCATGAGATGCTTCATTTCCAAATGAAGATCTGTTCTGTCTTTCCTGAAAGCCAGATATGTACGATATACAAGTTTAGTCACAGTGAGCTGAACAGGTTACATTTTTGTAAGCTTCATGTTAAAATATTAACAAGCTATCATTATATATATTATCTGAGGTGTAATTATCTTTTATGACCTTTTCAGTGTATTCCTGTTATATCTTTTAATACAGAACAATTACTATTAATTAATGGTTGCGGATGAAACAGACAAGCCACGTTAGATTGCAACTATCAATGCAAGGAGCCTTGTTGCTTTAAGCACAGATCCAGATGAGTCATTAAAAAGTTCTAATGAATAAGAAGGCAATAGGCAGGAATTTTGATATAGAATGGTATAGTACTCAGGAAGCTACAGTACTAATAATCCATGTTATCCTTAAATTCTCTGACTGCATGAATCATTTTACTCAGAAACAGCGAGGGAAAAATTGCACTTCACTTTTGTCAAATGGCTCTATGGCAACTGAGAAGAGAAGTATTTGTGTTAATTCTTCTACTGAATTTACTATTGAGTAGCACAAGAGTTATTTCATCATCCTTTCAATGTTCTTAATCTCATTAGAATTGCCTAAAAAGCTGCATCATGGAACAGTTTTAAAGTGAATTTGTTCTCCCTATACAGAACATACGTGACTGAGATAGGTTATTTTATTTTGTAAAAGAAAACCAGTACTTTGGAGGTTAAAACAGCAGTATTCTCTCTGCTTAAGCATCTCAGAACAACAGCAATAGAATTCTTACTGTGAATTCTGTATACACTCTGCTATTTTGAGATTCGAAGAGTTGCAGTACATTTTTTTTTTTTGTGACAGCTTAGTTCACAGCATTATATTTTGCCACAGAAATTTAGGAACTGAGCCAAAATGGAGGCAGTGGAAACGTTCCCATTGACGTCAGTGAGCCTTGGATAAGGCCCCAGACGGCTAAGGACTAGGATTGTCAACTTACAATTAATGTAATTAATGCATCTACACTGGCCCTAGAGCAGTCCAGGCATAAAATTCCTCTTTTGCTGTTAGAATTTAGCATCTTTTACTAGGAACTTTGAGAAAACACAAATTAAAAAGGGAAGGAAAAAAAGCAGGGGGGTGGAGGGAGGGGTGGGCAGGAGAAGAGAAAGGAGGAAAACATCTACAGGTTTTTGAGGATAAACAAGAAGCTAGTACTCAAGCCTCTGTATAAGCTGTTAATTGTTGATCTCTAATATAACAGAATAATAACATTCAGCAATGCAATGCCAGTAGACACAAAGGTAGTTTCCATTCACAGTTCAAGGCTATTGCCTTGAAGGGTCTGAAACCTTTTTCAATGAAACTAAGGTGTCTGAAAAGAAAGGAGGAGTGTGAATCTAGAGACGGAATTACAGTGATACAGTAAAATAAACATTTCAGTTGGTAAGAGAGTTGTTTCTGATATTTTAATATGCTTAATACAAGTATTTTTGAGGGGTTGAAAAAGTTAACTAATGCAGTGTGTCTTATAGAGAATCACTAGCTAATATTGCAGGCAACAGCTTTAGTAAAACTAACAAAGTGAACAGACAAAATGTATTATACTATTTCCTTATTGCTTTTATATTCTAAGCCTTTTTGTTTTTACATAATAACATGTTTGGTCTCTCTACTTCAGAATTTGAGCTTCCATTTATTTATTTTTTCATGTTTTATGTCACTTATGTTTAATTCTGTAAAAAATACACTTATTTTTCAGTTAATTAGATACCATATCTTTGTGGGAAAGACACATTGTTTCAATGGGTTGCAACTCATAAGTACCTAGTACTCATACTGAGATCAATCACAGTTACATGTCACAATAATGTTATGTATGATTAATGCTGAATGATTAGTTCATAGGTTCATTTCATGAAATTTTCCAAATATTAACAATAGGGTCTCATATTCTAGTACTTCCTCAGACACTTATGGAATTTAAAAGCCTCAACTCATTAGTAAATATCAAAGCCCTAGTAGGAAGGTTCATATGATGAAATCATGTAATCAGATGTCCACATAAACAAGCTAATGAACATCTGAGCCATTTTTATTATTGTAACAGAATATTTAGTTTGAAAGAACAAAGGTCTTCTGTACATTAATTACTCACTTCATATAGAAGGTAGTTTTATTTTACTGTGTTGTACAGAAATCATACTGGTAGTAATACCCATTTCAAAGAAATAGCTGGTTTTGTAAAATCTTTACTTACCCTGTGGAGAGTAGCAACACTTTCAGGAAATGTTTTAGGCTCCTGAAGAATCTGAGAAACATCTGCTTCAATGAAAATATTTTCCTTCTGAAATGCTGAACATTTAGCACTTACCCATAGGCATTTCATAGCTGTAAGAAACCATGGATGATAAAAATCAGTTGGAACTTGGGAAAAATAGTTTGACTTATTGTTCTTGACTACAGAAAATTACAGTGCAAATGTAGGGGGAAAAGTGCATGTTGCAAAATGGGATAATGCTAGAATTAGGGTATTTAGGAGTACATCACTGTATACCCATTTCAGTAGTACAGGATATTATGTATGTCACTAAATTAATCACAATGTCTTTGACAACATAATGGAGGAAATAGAGTCACTTTCGTCATTCCTTCTGTGGATGAATCAGCCAACTGGCTTCCAACGCCACAAGCAAAACCAGTTGGAATTAATAACTTTTCTAAGAAAAGTAATTTCCTGAATTTGGGTATAGTTTCAGCAAATTCAAAGTTAAGAAAAAAAGGAGGGAGGGAAAGGAAAAAAAAATAAGCCAAGTAGGTAGGTGAGTTTAAAATAGTTTTTTTAATTTGACATTTTCAAAAGAAAATATTTCAACTTAAGTATGTTTTTAATTTTAAATTGTTTTTAACTTCTGAAGTATATGAGAAATTATCCAAATAAATGCAAGTATTTCCACATCTGAAAAAGATGCCCAGCTACAACTGTAATCTTTTCTTTCTTCACCATGCAACATTTCTGGACCAGCCACTGAACCAAAACAGCTACTATTTGAAAAGATCTCCCTCCAGTTCCTCTAGGGACTATTAGCTGGCAGTGGTATGATCATGTCCCCACTATGTGAACTAGGTTGAAATATCGAGGTAGGGACTGGTGGGATACAGCCACATATAAAATAAGGAATTGTCTATCTGGTAAGGAAAATATCTAGATGCATCTCTGAAGCGTTTCTAATAGCACAAGTGAAGATAGAGAGTATGTTCACTTTGTTGTGTTCATCCTTCTCATTGTCTCCGTTTTGTCTCCCTAAAGACATGGAATCGAACTTTGCAATGTGAAAGGCACAATATCTTTCAAATATGATGGAAAAATTAAAAGATCCAACACCAAAACATCAACAATAACAAAACACACACAAAACCAGAAAAAAAAATACCCAAACCCACAGAATTTCTGGAAGTATGGTTATCAAGGACCAAGTGCACTCTATTACTGTCTGATATCCAGCTGAAAAACCAAAGGCTTCTGAAAAACCTCTATATGTGAGTTTATAAAAGCTTGAATATAAGGACACATTTAGGGGAAAAGCTGGAAGCTCTTAGAAAAGCTGGAATTCATGTAGAAAAGAGCAGAGCAGTGTTAAATATCTGTTTCTAAGGGACACAAATAACAAATTTTCCATGATAATGACTGCACTGACACCTTAGAGCAATTTAGAAAATTACTGCCTATTTAATTATTTTGAAAGTTTTTTCTCTTTTTTCTTTTTTTTTTTTTTTTTGTAATGTTGAATTCATCCTATGAAATATTATTTATGTATATAACAAATGAATGAATGACTCACTAAAGAAAATGAGTGGCTCACCACTTCCAGGGGGAAATATAATAGAGTGAAGATTGTGTTGAAGAAAATACATTAATACATAAACAGTGTTATCTTAAGCTCCTTACAAAAAGGGAAAACAAAAGAGAAAACTTCTGCAGCTGGAAAATGGGAATACCAACAGCCCTCTTCCAGAATCAGCCAGGAAAGATAAGGGATCTCCTCTCACATACAAGAATTAGGAAACCTGAAAAACATATCCCCAAGCAGACACTGAAGCATAGTATTTCTCAGCAATAATACGTATTCAGTAATCTGGGACAGGATTTGTACAGGTCCTGTTTCCCACCTGAACAATGAATTTGGTGAAGAGAAACATGTTCCATCAAATGTCTTCTTTTGGACTACTAGCCATTGATTCAGCCCCTCTTCATATGAATGAAGTACTTCGATATCTCAGAAATATTCTATGTTCCATAGCCAGAGTGCAAATTCAGTAAAAGAAGAGTAATTAACAAGCTTTTACAAACATGGGTCATGTCAATTTATTTAGAGTTTTTCTCCTGCTTTCATTACTTTTTTTCAAATAGAATTTTAACTTCCAACATTAAAAACAAGAAAATAAAATGGGTCCTCCTAAACTTCTCAAAACCAAAATATCAGGTTATTTATAGGTATCTTAACATGTAGAATATGCATTTTGCTGATTACTTTTAGTTGCCTTGAGTATATTTTTTTGCTGGAGACATGACTGACTTCAACATCTGATTGTAGTGGTTTTCAGTGTGAAACTGCTGTTTAGCAGCTCTAAATTCCCTTAAAAAAGGGATACAGAAAGATTTCCATAAAGCTACTTTAATTCCATTCACTCTCATTTCTAGACATTTCCTGTACTTCTATCTGACAGTGTCCTTGCATTCTGTTACCATTCTTAACAGGTGAAATCATTATAAATCTTGGATGTTTAAACTGATCTAAACCCTGTTGTAAAGGTCAGCTGACAACAGAGGAAATCAATAAAAAACAAATTAAGAAGACATGGATTTTGTCTAATTGGCTCATGTTTCCACAGTATGTGATAGCATGTTCTTGAAAATGCAAAACTCACTGTTATAAGTCAACTCTTGCAAATGATTTCTTTCTTTTTTCTGGTCTAAAAAAAAAAATAATAAAAAAAAATATATATACTTTAAAATATCTGGCTCCATAGTAAGTATATAAAAAAAACAAAACAAAACAAAACAAGGATAGATCTTAAGGAGATTAGGCAGCAAAAAACAAATATATTTTCCTGAAAAAGAAGTTACTATATTATATTTGATATTTTCATGCTCAGTGAAAGAGTGATTGCAGTCACTTCTTCAGAATTAAATTAACTGAGCTCTGTGAACTGACTGCTACAGATGAGATAATCTGACAATTACAAATATATGAAATAGGAGTAGTCATTAAGAAATAAAGATGTGAGTCCAGCACTCCAGGAGAAGAAACAATAGGAGTACATCACACCTCAGTCAATGACTTAGAACCTGTTTTGTGATATTGTGCTTTTGTTTCTTTAGCACAGGGCACTAAAGCCCTGAGAGGCAATAAATTCTTATACACTTAGCAATTATGTGGGATTTTGCAGATTTTTTAATATTATTATTATTATTTTTCATACATAAAATGGGGAAACCCACTTATATTGTCAAATCTTCGACACCTTTAGAGACTCCACTTTGTTCCCTACTAAACCTTGAATGCTTGAACTGGGTTTGTTGCTTTTTCTCCTTTGCTCTCCTGCAGGACATTATGATATCACTGACCAAAAATTTGGACCCATCTGCAAAAGGACATTTAATAAAATTAAACTGAACTAATTGAAGGTGTGAACTGAGCTGCATCATCCAATTATTACACTGCTGTTTATGTCACACAAATACTTGACTAAATAACTAAAATAACTCAAGGCCATGCTTCTGACAAGGAACGTCCATTCAGTTGTAATAGACTGCAGTCTAACTTCACACCTTCAGCTAATTCTTCCTAATTTCCCCAGTGTCTCTGTTTGGAAAAATATCCTGGAGGCACACTAATCCTTGAATCAGCTACACAATCTTTGTAATACAAAATTGGCTACAAGCCCGGAACTTCTGGTCTCCGATTTTCTCTTTCATGCAGCATTTTTTCTTCTAATATTCCAGACAAGTAAAGTCCAGATGTTTTCTGCTGTTTAAGAAAGCAAACACAAGACACCCTTAGGCATTCAGTCCTTTACTTACAAAAGTCCCATTAAATTTGGGCTATTTCATTTGACAATCATAGATACTGTTTGTCTTTGAATTTCTTTTCAAATAGTAAATATTGCTTAGTACTTTAGGGCTTGCATATCTTTAAATAGAATAGGACACTTAATTACCATGTCCTCCATCACTGATTTGTATTTCTAGAGCATGCAGGGTTTGAAACGGTTAAACTGCTTACCCAGCTGGTCAAACTGACTATTTGTTCTACAAATAGTAGCTACAGATCTCTATTACAACAAATACTGGGTCCAAGTAATTTTTTTTCAAATGTTACTACTCCCTGTAATAATTTATCAATTACACATTTTAAAACAAGAAACTCTAAGAAAAAAAAAAAGATAAAACCTGACTTTAATACTTGTACAGCATTATATTCACTTCTTAATTCTCCTTCCCAGCCATCTTCATATATCTGTGGCTGCATCTAAATTTCTTGAGACATTTCTTGAATAAATAATTTTATCTATCACTCCTAGTTATTAATAATCCAGCCCTATATTTCTCATTAAAACCAACAGCTTTTTTGATTCTTTTTGATCCAGGGCATATTTATTAACCAGGAAAAAAGAAATTCCACTACAAAGTATGTCATTGTCACCATTTCATGCATCTTTTCTGTGCAGTTTTTCTCCTTGCCCATCTATGTACTGCCAAATTACACTTAGGGAATCAAGATTTTTTTACCTGTCTCTAATGTAATTTTGTTTCACACTTAATTACATTTGAACTACATCTTAATAAACTTTATACATTATATCACAGTGCAGTAAGGGAGTAATATGGTGGATTTCTGGATTAGGACAATAATCAGGAACATATATTCACTGGTAATATCACCTATGGTCAAGAGAGCTGGGCAAGACATGGCTCCCAAGACAGTGGAGAGCAATAGGCTCTGCTCTTCCCTTCCCTTCTTCCCTTTTAATATTTTCCCTCCTTTGTATATTGCCTTCATAAATTCTACCTGATGCTTCAAAACTGAAAACACATTCCATTCTCTAAGAGCACTTATTATTTCTGCTTGAGTAAAATTATTTCTGTTTGAGTAAAATTTTCTGACTCCCTGATTTTTCCACAGAGGTTTTCCCCCTTCAGGGTAACCACTGGAATTGCAAGCTTCTATCTGCAACTCCCTAGGAAATAAAGAGTAGTATGAAATAAATGCTAATAAAATCCCCAATATAAAAAAAACCAACCCTCTAAGATATCTAAATTGATACAAGCATCAGCAAATCAGTGTCAAATGATTTTATCCCTGCAGCAAAGGAACTGAAATAGCATA